GCGAAGAGATATAATCCCTCCACCTGGTCCTAGGTCTACCCCTTGGTCTCTTCCCAGCTGGACGTGCCTGGAACACCTCCCTAGGGAGGCGCCCAGGTGGCATCCTAACTAGGTGCCCGAACCACCTCAACTGGCTCCTTTCGACGCGAAGGAGGAGCGGCTCAACTCCGAGTCCCTCCCTGATGACCGAACTTCTCACCTTATCCCTAAGGGAGACACCAGCCACCCTGCGGAGAAAACCCATCTCGGCCGCTTGTATCCGCGGTTTAAGTTTAAGATGTGAATAGTTCAATTAAAAGCAGCGACAAAAAGAAAAGTCTTCAGCCTGGATTTAAAAGTAGTCAGAGTTGCAGCGGACCTGCAGGTTTCTGGGAGTTTGTTCCAGATATTTGGAGCATAATAACTGAACGCTGCTTTACCATGTTTAGTTCTGACTCTGGGGACAGAAAGCTGACCAGTCCCTGAAGACCTGAGAGATCTGGATGGTTCATAATTTAGCAGGATGTCAGAAATGTATTTTGGGCCTAAACCATTCAAAGCTTTATAAACCAGCAGCAGTAAGTCACTGAGAGGACCACTTGAACTTTACCTTTGATATGAGCACACTGTGACCAAAAGAGAAAAACAGTAGTTCAACATTAAAGATGATGAACGCAGTAAGTTTTACTAATTCTAATTCTACTAATTCAAATTGTATCTGCGTACAAGGGGAAATTAGTGCACTGCACACAATGAATGAACTTAAAGCACTGTCTGTCCCGAACACAAAAAGTAGTTTCAGTAATCATTAACAGGTCACGTATACATGCTTTACACATCATTATACCATGTATTAGGACCTTGTTGTTGTTGTTGTTGTTGTTGTTGTTGTTGTTGTTATTGGTGTTACTTAGAAAAAATACATGCAGATTGACTTTAAATAACCTGTCCTACAAACCCCAAATGTATGTTGTTTAAAGCCTTAATGTATCTATGAAGAATAAGTATCATTTATAAGCAATGCACAGTATAAGCTATAAGGTCATATTTAGGGCATCTAATACAAAATGTATGTACCTATCTGGAACAAAATTCAGGATAAGTTACTAACATTGTATACACTTATTACATATCATTATATTACATGTGGAAGTGTGATTTTTTCCATGCATGTATGTGGAGGTGAAGAAAATATCATGTGTGCTAACATGCAGCAGAGCCGGCAGTAACCGTGGCTGCACCATGCAATTATCACAGAAGCCCATAATGAGCCCTCTACAAAAAAGCTGGCTCCAATTTCAGAGTTAAGTGATTTCAGTCCATTAAACTAGCTCGTACAGTAATGTCAGCCAGTTTGACACTGGATAGTCTGTTGAGGAGCTACTGTAGTATTATTAAAGTACGCCTCACTGGCAGAACCGAAATTAAACCATCCGATTAATCTCTCAGCCGGTAACAAATGACATGGAAAATGAAGATCTCTGCACATACTGTAATGTTGAAAGAACTAGAGGTATAATTCTGCAGAAAACTGAAGACCTATTCCTGTTTGTGTGGCCTTTTAAAGTTGGCAGATCCCAGACTAAACTGTGCCACAGCTGAAATGATGCCTCAGTAATGTCTCCGAGGCCTTGTTCTGTTAAGTTGCATGCAAGAGACCGCCGTGCCTAGAAATACTGCCGCCACAAAGCCACAGGGCAGGAGGGGACTGTCCGCCTCAGATTTGTAGCCCAGACTCTCGGGTGTGTTTTTGCCTCAAAAAGGGAGAGGGTGAAATTAAAGGCAGGGTTTTCATGTAATTGCACATGGATGTGCCCACTGCCCACGGCTTTGACCCCAGCTCCTGCACTCTAATGAGGGGTTGAGAGCTCGAACAAGGCAAACCCTGGCTGCAGTGATGGCTGCAGTGATGCCAGCCAAATAGGTTTTGTAATGTCCTTATTGTACTAGAGCCCTTTATTATGTGTGTCCATTCTCATTTAACCATGAGCTCTTTGATTTTAATGAGGCTATTATGCTACCGGTAACATAAACTGCATTAAAATCAATTATGAATGTTCTTAGTATACCGTATGAATAATTGTAAATGTACGCTGCTTTTTTATTGCATATTGTTTAATAATGAATATACTGATTATGTTAATGCCCTGAGTTAAATGTATTTTATTGATATGCACAGATAGCAAGAAGATCCTGTGCAAAGCTCTTTAGATTACAAAAAATATATATATTTTCTATGTCCAAATTTGGACATTTATTTTACATCAAACAATGTCCAGCATTAGAAAGTAGATTGACTCAAGTGTTGTACAAGAAGGTACTAATTAAGTATTTTCATTTTCTGTGATTCATGAAACAAAATGTCATGTAACTTTTATTTCCTTAGCATATCAGAATCAGAATCAGAAACGGGTTTATTGCCAGGTAGGTTCACACATACGAGGAATTTGACTTGATGTCATGGTGCATATATATATATACTTAATTTACTCTACAACTATAAATATGTTAATTTGCAGGTTAAGATTTTAAAACATATGGTTATTCTTTAAAATATGAAACATTATTATAGATTGAAATATCCAGAAAAAAGTATTAGGCTACAGTTTATAGAGTAGCTATACACGTTGGCCTGCTCTACCTTTGAATTGCAATTTTACTAAAGTACATTTTTAGGAGCAGGACTTTTCCCTTGTAATGGAGCAGTTCTGCAGAGTGTTATTGCTACTTTGACTTAAATAAATCATGTGAATACTCCTTCTACCCACTGACAATATTACACAGAAACTGTATCCTGCATAAGGTCCAGGGCAGCCTGTAGATGAGCAGTGGAAACTTTCCCTGAGGAATGGTTTAACCATCTGTGAGGCCAGCTACTCTGAGGCCAGCGGCTTTATTGTACAGTACTTTCAAATGAGAGGTTGCAGCCTGTAGGTTTTATACTTAAATAATATAGCATTATAATGGCAGGAAATCACACATACAGTGCATTTGCTGTTTTATGGGGGATGAACAGCTACTGATGCTTGAAAATGGAAGCCATATACAGCTTTAATTACTGTTGTGTCGTTCTGACAAAGAATTAAGCCTCCCTCAAACCAAAGTAGTGAGGGTGGTCCTGCAAAAGTGAAAACCTCCACCCATGTTCTTCTTCAGTAGTCTATGAATAAACATAGACATAGACTCACTTTCACCACATATAATTGGTTTGTACTTGCTGTTGGTTTCATATTTGGCTCAACGTTTATGTAAATGCAGATGCGAGCCCCACATCACTGTAGTTTGCTGAAAAACCCAAGGTTTTTCCAACCATGTTCCCCGTCTGTTAATCCAGCTGCCTTACCGTAGACCCACTCTGTGATTGGTCCCAGATTTTCTGCGGGTCCAGAGTAACTATTTGGCTTTTTCCCGGAGATTTTTCCCATTGCTGCTGGCACAGTGCGACCTGCAGGAAATGACTGAGAATTGTAACTGTAACAATGCTAATGGACAAATGCCAGACCACAGCTGTTTATCCAACCACACAAAACATGTATCTGGGTTATTAACCACAGACACTGGAAGAGATCTACAATTTAGTGATTTGGTCTGTGACAAAGTACAATATGTGCTTAGTTTGGGGGAAATCACAACCAACCAAATGTGGGGCACTGTATAAAGTAGGCTAAAGCAGTAAGAATCCTAGCATCTGAGTTATATTCACAATGCTGATGACTCAATTATTCCTGGTGGAATTTCTGGATTTTGTTTTAAATAAACGGTTTATTTGTTGTCCCATTTTGTTCATGTTATGCTTAGTTTTAGTTAGGGAAGTCTTTAATTATATGCTGTGTAGATTCCACTCCATCACGTCTTTTTCAAAGAGTCATCATCTGTCTTTCTGTCTCCCAGGCTCTGTGTCCCTCTCCTTGCTGCCAGCCCTGCCCATCCTTCCTGGATATGAGGTCACGACAGAAGGACCAGAACAAAGGATGGGCTGCATTCATCTTAACTTAGACTCATACAGCATATTGTATGATTCATATTTATCATGTTCTGTCCATGTCTAGAAGAAAGACAGCAGGGAGAATCAACTTTTGTATAGAATAAAGACTTTTGTTGAAGTTAACTCATGTACATTTATGTGTATATCTACAGAGCCTGGTTTTTGTTTCACTGCTGTATACATAATATAACTGTGTCACTCAATAGGAAAAAAGAGTCATAGTTTTAGAAATCTCTATTCCCTGTTTTTATTCTATACTTAGATCATGTTTATTAATTTGTATTATGAATTTATTTGTATGTTTGTTTCTTACCTAATATTAAAACAAATGTTTACTTGTCAATTTATAGCTAAAGTATCTCTGTATTAGGCCAGTACCTAGAAGGCTACATTTAGCTGGCTAACTTGAAGTACAGAACTAGCAAGACTGAGACTGTATGATAAAAATAGAGGAGATATGTTTGATTAGGTTTGGCACCATGTCATGTTATGATTTTTGTATAAGCAATGTTTAAATGGTTTTTTCGAATGCAAGCAAGCTATATATGTAATTAATTTTAGCTAGTTAGGTAGCTAACTATGAAATATGCTAATCAAGATAGCTAGCTTTAGCTCACAAGCTCAAACAAATAATACATAGGCCTATATATTATACATTATATATATATATTAAAAACTATTACTGTAGCCTACGAATTTCCTCAAAACACACACAATTATATATCAATGAAACACTCGTGAATGTAATATGGAACATTAAAGTTGTTGTGCCCCAAACGTATTCCTGATTGGTTTTGCTGAGGTTCATGTCGGGGTCAGGATTATTGTGAAAAATATTGTGAAAAAGACATGAGTATGAGTTTCCACACACCTGGTTGCCTTTGCTTCACTGACCCTTCATCCCCTTCATTCCTCTCCTGGCCGGGGAGCAGCAGGGGGAGGAGCGGGTGTGACTTCCAGCCAACCGTCGTCACTGCGGAGTTTAGAGATCAGTAAAAGATGAAGAGAGCTTTGTTTCTTCCACTGAGCCGAGGGAGACGGAATTAAAGTTCAACGTTAAATCTGGAAAACACGGATGATCGACCTTTCAGCAATTAAATGTGTGTCTCTCTGTGCGCGTTTCACTTTCAACTAAACCCGGACTTCGAGCATCCCACGGTAAGTTGCGTAAAACTTGAATCGGCATAAACTACGTTAAATCTGCAAGGTTTCATTTACTGTGCAGTGAAATCGTCATCGATTAAGTGTACAGTATGTTTGTGATTGTCAGTTAAACTACTGTGTATGAAAAGCTAAGGCAAACCTTAATTTTCATTTTCAAATGAGCCCCTGTTAGTTTGGGCAACGGTCCAAAATTCCTATGTAAACAAACAAACAACATCAGTGTATTTTAAAGTGTATACTTTTAAACGTTTACAGCAGGTACCTATTTGTTAGTCTTTAAGAAGATCTGTTTCCATTAGGAAAACTAGATCCAGTTAAAATCGAATATACAAAACCATTAAATGCTGTATAACTGGATCAATATTCAAGAACTCTAAATTGGCTGCTTTTTCAAATAACACTCTCATCCTTCACATCTTACCCTGCAGTTAAACACGGTGAAATTGCTGACACTGGATTCCTTGCTCACTTCTGACATCCAGTGTCAGCAGCCGGTGCTTTTAAGATGATCAACACTCAGGTGTACCGCCACTACAACCACACAGGGAAGCTGGAGCATCGACCCAGCGTCGGCACAAGCTCCGGCACCGTGGACGCCAAAACTATCGCGTTCCTCATCATATGCAGTTTCATCGTCCTGGAGAACCTCACCGTGCTGGTGGCCATATGGAGAAACCACAGATTCCACAACCGCATGTACTTCTTCATTGGCAACTTGGCGCTGTGTGACATGCTGGCTGGAGTGGCCTACCTGGTGAACCTGCTGCTGTCGGGGGAGAAGACCCTGCAGCTCTCACCTGCCCTCTGGTTCGTCAGAGAGGGAAGCATGTTTGTTGCACTTGGAGCCTCCATTTTTAGTCTCCTGGCTATTGCTATAGAACGACACCTGACAATGATCAAAATGAGGCCTTATGATGCCAACAAGAACTATAGAGTGTTTCTGCTCATAGGGACCTGCTGGCTGATTGCCATTTCTCTTGGTGCTTTGCCTATTCTAGGCTGGAACTGCTTGGACAACCTCCACGATTGCTCCACTGTTCTCCCTCTCTACAGCAAGAAATATGTAGCTTTCTGTATCACAGTTTATATGGTTTTGCTCTTGGCCATGTCAGTCCTTTATGCTCGCATTTACATCCTTGTGAAGTCCAGCAGCCGAAAGGTGAGCAAGAACAGGAACTCTGAGCATGCAATGTCCCTGCTGCGCACCGTCATCATTGTGGTCGGGGTCTTCATCGCCTGCTGGACGCCCATCTTCGTCCTGCTCCTGGTGGATGTGGCATGTGTGCAGCGCTGCCCCATCCTCTACAAGGCTGAATGGTTCATCGCAGTGGCTGTGCTGAACTCAGCCATGAACCCGGTGATTTACACTCTGGCCAGCCGTGAGATGAGAATGGCCTTCCTGGGCCTAGTGTGTGGTGTTTGCTTCAGAGGGAAGGATTCTGGGAATGGCAGCGAAAACAGGAAATCTCTGGAACCTAGCCGCAGCAGGAGCAAGTCGTGGAGCAGCCAGAACAACCCCAACCAGAGCCAGCAGAGCTCTAGGCAGGCGGAGCTGGAGAAGGGGCAGGAGGCGGCCCATGGCGAGGTCTCAGTGGTGGCAGGGGGGGCTGCAAAGGCCGTCATCGAAAGTGACATGAAAGACTGAACTAAGTTATCTACTCTATGTCAAGGGGAACTTTGGTCCTAATGTTGGACCTATGCATTGGTCAGAATTGGTGACCATAATGAAATGGACCTTTACATTGGTCATAATTGGTGACCATAATGAAATACGAGCTCAGATTGATTCAAACAAAGGATTTCTTGAAGTGCAGGGCAGTGGATTTATTCTATAGGTGCTTGATGTGTTTAAATATGCATCATCCATTAATGGGAAGTGTATTAAAATGACTACACATTACACTGATTAATGTATGAGGCCAAAGGGTTCAAGGAGACAATCAATATTTACTCTTTGTCAAGTACAGTATTACATCTCTTTCCAGTGAGATTTACGTATCTCCGAATTTGGTCAAGTTACCTGAAGATACAAATCTTTAAACCAATTGAATTATCTGGGGAACATAATGCATTGTCAATTTTTCCTCATGCAAAGTTGACATTTTGGAGGTTTGGAGGCAGGACGAGGACAATTTGCAAAACAATAGTGCTTACCTTTTTTTTTTTACTCTTATCTCTGTAGTTACAGATGTGACCAAGAACACGAATAAGAAGTGAAACTCACCTGCAATGAATTAAAGTGCAATTATAGTGCTGCAAAAATAACATGATGAAGAATGATTGTAGACAATTATCCATGTTATGATAAACGATGTAATGTATTTATTATTCTGTAATTGTATATTCACTCAATTATAGGCCAACTCAGTATTACGTGCAGTTATTTAACAATAACTGAATTATACATTGTATATGTGATGTCAGTGAAATGTAAAAAAGCACATGCTGAAGAGTTAAACCTGTTACTCGTTTCATTAAATCAGCATCATCATGTTCAAACTGCATCTGTTCAAACTGCACAATGAATGTAGCTGATGCAGTTCATTCAACATCAGTAGTCTAAGTGATGCCAGGGCTCCATCTGCTGCTCAATATATGTAGGTTCAATTCTCAATGCTGACTAGATATTCTCCAACATGCTGCACGTTCAATACAGAATCTCTTTAATCCTAAACTGTTGTCTGTTGCATTTTAATTAGTTTCTTACAAAGTTCAACTTAATCATCTTTAGCATGAAGCCAGAGGAGGCATGTGAATGCAGCATGTGAAATAAATGTTGTTAACTACATGCAGCTATTTATATAATATATAATATTAGCTTTGACACAATAAACCTCGTGTTTATAGTAGAGTGCAGTGATGTCTTTTTTATCGATGTAATCATTGGAGAAAATAATTGTTATTTGTATAGGTATCTAGCCGGATTGTTTGGATTTGATATGTCCAATTTTAGAGAGAACTGCCTCTGAGATTTCTGCAGCCACAATACAATGAAGTTGAATGCATTTTTTTGCTAGTGTTTCTTTCAGATTTGGAAAATAATAGCAACTTATTTTCCTGAACTTATCCAGAATAACATGTAAACTGTTAATGGATATATTTTTGTAATCGTGTTTCCAATGCGTTCAGTCTTAATAACTAAATTATATTCACCTCTTGTATTGGGCTTGAGGCAGAAATTATTTTTTAAATGGTCCTAAAGGTCACCTATTATGCAAAATCCACTTTTTCCTGTCTGTTATACATAATATGTGTACCCTCTGTGTTAGATTTTTCTCAATCTCGAGTAAAGCTGCTGCAGAGCCACTGGCCGTTTCTCAATCGCGAGGATACTGGCTTGGTAGTCGCGTACTTCCAAGTCACTTCCTTCAGAAACGAAGCAAGTATGCTTCCAAGCCACGGCTTCGGAAAACGAAGAAGAATGGAACAGGCTAACAAGTGTGCCACTCTCTCTAACGGTTTCAACATAAACTGTGCCGAAAATAAATACCTCACGATGTCTATCTAATTATGAACTTGCTTTACTTTCACGGAACACATTTTTCGTGATAACAAACAAATGTAACAAAGTAACATATTTACCAACACATGTTCTACGCCACTACATACTTACATTTAAATGTTTTGCTGTGCTGCGTCGGTTCAGCCATTCTCCGCAAGGGTTTTTGAAATAGAGAGGCGAAGTCCCTCCCCTTCCGGGAGCCTCCATGGGACCCCGGAAGCGGAAAATTATACATTGAAGTCAATGGAGAGAGTAAGGTTATCTTTTGATCCCGTTTGAATTGTGCCACGAATGACACATATGATGTTTGTCAATTTAAAAGAACATTTCGCAAGTCAAACAAATAAAAATGTGTCGTAAAACTGTGAAGTTACACATTTGTTTGTGTGAAACCGCTCAGTGAACTACAGGTCTCTGGTCTCGCACAATACGCGTCACCATCACAAAGACGGCCGTCACGTTAGCAAATTTCACCTGTTTCTTTCAGAATGAGGCGAAAAGTATAAAACGAGGTGAACATCACTACAAGTCTGGGCATGTTGAGAGCTGTACATACACAAAAGGGGAGTTAGTCGGTTCTGTAAGAGCAATTCAAACGGGATCAAAAGATACTCTCTATAGAGAGACGAAGTCACGCCCATCTACTTCCGGTCCATGGGACCCCGGAAGCGAAAAATTATACATTGAATTCAATGGAGAGAGAAAACGTATCTTTTGATCCCGTTTGAATTGTGCCACGAACTACACATATGATGTTTGTCAATCTTAAACAATCATTTCCATGTCAAAAAAGTCACATTTTGTCGTAAAACTGTTGAAATATAAGACTATGAAAAATACGCGACTACAAATCCCATTCTGGGTCGCGTAAGTGATGTCACCGGCGATAATGCTCCAAGTGGTTGGTTCACTTTTACAAGATGCCTGTGTGCTTTGTACCAGGTTGTAATCACAAAAGGGATCATACCACTTGCTCGTTCTATCGCTTCCCGTCTGATGAAAGGACCAGGAGTCGCTGGATCAGACATATCAGGTAATATCATAGGTAATATACATGTTGTGCATGGAACATAGTCAAGTTAGCTAGTAGCGAGAAGTAGCGAGCACGTTAGTTAGCATTACATTAGTTAGCCTTGTCATTTTTAGTAGCCTTACCATGAAGTTATTATTTTATTACATGAAGTAAACCAAAATGTTAAACAGTAAGAGTAGTCATGATGGTAAGTATTTCGTGAAACATTTGAAGAGTAGCCTACTGCGCCCTCCACCGGGTGCTAAGGAAGCAGTTCAGGGAGAGTCGAAGGCAGGCAGGGAGCTTTGCATGACATTCTTCTGGACGTGTTTCATTGTGATGACAATGAGAGTGAGTCAATCTGTTGGAAAGACAGTCGTTGTGTGCTTACTGAGAGAAAATTGTTAGAAGAGATAATTATTCAAAGTGTTGTTACTTTAAACTAAGTGTTGTTACTTTAAACTAAGTGTTGTTACTGACCTTTTTCTCTTTTATTTTCTTTACCTCACCTGTAACTGCTGAGACGTTGAGGAACATGCACACTGACCTGCTCTGGCAACCTGATTTCCACTGTACGTAATAGTATTTGGTTATGGTATATTATTTATATACATCAAAGGCACAATGCACCCCCCAGAGACACACATGTATTGAGTGTGATATTTTGCATAGGTCATGTGAAATCATCTTTACATACTAGAAAACTGTAGGAGCGGCAACTTGTTTTGAAATTGAATTTTTAATATCCGATAATAAAGTTGATCTGTTTTCTTTATTCTTCTCTCTTCCCAGCTCCATACATCACCATTCTCTGTTCCTGCAGGTCCTGCTTGCTAATCAATGCTCATATTTTTTTACACAATTACAAATAAAGTCAATGTATTGTATGACATGAAGTGCTTCATTCGGAGTCAATAATAAATTCATTCTGCCTTCAACTGCACAATGATTGTGGACTGCACCGACATCCATGTAGCTGCCCCCCAGTAAGATGAACCAAGCAAAGAGGGTCACCATCATGCCCAAGGACATCCAGCTGGCCCGTCGCATCCGCGGAGAGAGGGCTTAGACTGACCTGAGACCAGCACACCCAAACACAACGGCTCTTTTAAGAGCCACCTACAGTTTCAAAGAGTTGCAATCCTACGTTATTATAATGATTAAACTGGTTCATGTATCACTTAGTTTACTGAACCGTGATGAATGAAAGAAATTAGTGAGGTAGTGGTTTACTGAAGTTACAAAGACATTAATATATGAGTAACAGGTCAGTGTAAACACAAGCTTCTGTCAATTATGGATCATTCAAACTATTTATATAAAAATATGTAATACATTTCTAAAACAAGTATTCGGTATATTCCTTGATAGCTTTTGGAGAAGGTTGTTTTTAAGTTTACTAAAATCTATCGTTTCAACTGTTTCACTTTATAAAAAAGGAACAGGTGAGTAGAGCATCATTGAGTTTCTTATTCTGTCAGTAAATTATCCAAATGAAATGTTTTTCATTATTTTAGTCAACCCTAAACAAATTGATTGTACCTTTTAATAATGACCTTACATGGTCGCCAAAGTTAAATTAACTTCAGAAAATCAAATCTGTTCTGAGAAAAAACGAATAAATGTTTAAAGATAGGAACTTGCCATCCCACTGAAAAACAGTCCGTAGAGATTTTAAGGCGTAGTTGTAGTTCAGTCCTACGTTTCATTTGGATTCATTTGACAAGTCAACTATTTTCATAAAGAATATATATATTTTTCAAAGTCAACTTTATTGTCAATCTTACTCAGTTTGTGTTTATAGACAGAGATCAAAAAGACGTTTAAATAAAATTATACAATTTACAGATATGTATACAAATATATATATCCTATATACACACCATCATGTATAATGATGTAGAAGGAAGTGTGGTAGATAACAAGTAAATATAGAGTTACATACAGATCCATGTTACAGCAAAAGATGGAATAACTAAGAAGCACGGAGTATAATAATAATTACATGCAACAATTAAATAACTGCTCAGCATCTCCACCACAATCCCAATCTGCTGTGTCCTGTTTTCCTCCCCCCTGCATAACACCCCATCACACATACGAAACACAACGCAGAGTCCGAGGGTGTTAAGAGTATGTTTATTTAAATGTCCTCCTCTCTACTGGCCAACACAGGGAGCATATGCTGGGTGTAGAATTTTTCCAGGAGGAGATTTCCATGCCGTGCAGGGTCTTTGGGGATGGGGATGATGATCGCCTCCTTCGTGGTCCACACAACAAAGTAGCAGAGACTCCGGTCTGTGATATGCAGCTGCCCTTGGACTGGTGCCAGTATGGGTGATTCTCCTTGAGAATATATGACCCACCCTCCTCACGGAGACAGAAGGATGGTAACTGGACTGCCTCCGCGATGGTCATGTTCCTCTGGCTGTGTGGACACTTCACCTCCAGCAGGGCAGATGGCTGCACAAGTCCATCGGGTGATGCTCCCAAAACACCCGACTCACTCACAAAGAGACCAAACTCGAACACTGTCACCCGATAGGCCTGCACAAAAGCCTTCACCCCTTCGGCCTCGTTTACAACCCCCCAGTTGACAGTTGGCGATGTATCGATGTATCTCTGCATCGCGCCATCGTCTCCCATGCAGATCTGTAAAAATAAAGTAAGTATCATTTGTTAGCATGCTATAATTATAGCAATAATACAAGGATGGTCCGGATCTGGGGGTGGGAGGGTTTATTTTTCCATAGCTTTGTCCTCTTGTCTGATTGTTGTTATTGTTTGTTTTTTCTGTATTTTTTGTAATTTGTGTTGTATTGATTGTGATTGTACATTGTATTTTTCTAAATGTGTATGAATACATTTTTTTTAAACATTTGATCAACAATAAAAAAGGATTTGGTCAGGATCTAGACTCAGTGTGTAGTTTATTAATTAATCAATGATCTCTACATTAGGAAAACACATACCAGTGTACCAGAGGGAGTCACACACAGCTGTGCCTAGATAACCAAAATCCTTGAATCTACACACAGCAAATAAAGTCAAATGACACAACGAGAAAAAGGAGATCACACATACAGTATAGTCGATATAAAACTGTCCGCTTCAATCTGAAGAGCAACTAAAACAAAACACGGGAGTGTACCTTGTTCTTGTGAACACTAATGTTATCCACAGCATACACAGAGACCACGAAGTTCTTAAGGAGAAAACTAGTTACTAAAACAAAACACGTTAGTGTACCTTGTTAGCTAATGTTAGCTAGCTGACATTAACGTTACACATTGCACTCATATTACTCACCGAAACCTTGTAAAGCTGGTCCCGCTGCTCTTACAGAACCGACTAACTCCCCTTTCGTGTATGTACAGCTCTCAACATGCCCAGACTTGTAGTGATGTTCATCTCGTTTTATACTTTTCGCCTCATTCTGAAAGAAACAGGTGAAATTTGCTAACGTGACGACCGTCTTTGTGATGATGACGCGTATTGTGCGAGACCAGAGACCTGTAGTTCACTGAGCGGTTTCACACAAACAAATGTGTAACTTCACAGTTTTACGACACATTTTTATTTTTTTGACTTGCAAAATGTTCTTTTAAATTGACAAACATCATATGTGTCATTCGTGGCACAATTCAAACGGGATCAAAAGATAACCTTTCTCTCTCCATTGACTTCAATGTATAATTTTCCGCTTCCGGGGTCCCATGGAGGCTCCCGGAAGGGGAGGGACTTCGCCTCTCTATTGGTCCGTGCGCAAAGCATTGTGGGGATTTTAAGGATGCGAAGTCTACCCATGTGCAGCCTCGAAATTTCCCCCAAACCAAGGACGCGGCCTCGGTGGAATTCCAAGTATGCTGGAGATTGGAACAATCCTTCGGCCGCACTCGATGACGTAGCATCCTTGAAATATTGGCTTGGAAGCCAATATCCTCGGGATTGAGAAACGGCCTGAGAAACGGCCATTATTTCAAGCATACTACGTCATCGAGTGCCGCCGAAGTACTGTTCCAATGTCCAGCATACTTGGAATTCTACCGAGCCCGGCGTACTTCGTTTGGAGACATTTCGAGGCTGCACATGTGTAGACTCCGAGGTCTTAAAATCCCCACACGGACCAATTTCCCCAAATCTGTGGCGGAAAATGTAAGGCGGGGCCTCTCATATGACGCACACCTGCACACTTGCTCGCCTGTTCCACTCTTCGTTTTCCGAATGCCAGGAAGTATTATTGCCTCGCTTCTGAAGCAAGTGACTCGGAAGACTGTGCTACCAAGCAAGTGTACTCGACATTGAGAAACACCCACAGAATCAGTACTTTAGAAACAGGGCTGAAACATGCATTGTATGGCGTAGGCCTACTACAATGCATGATCTGTTTGTTATTTCGAGCCAAACACTTCAGAGACATGTATTGTATCTGAGACCTATGCCATATTGTTGAAAAATAGCATAATTGGGGACCTTTAAATCTACACCAATCTTGGCTAAAATAAACCAAAAGTGTCTGCATGACAAGATAATCTGTGAAATGTGTTATCGATCATTTCAGCAGATACAACAGATTCTGCACATTCACGGTTTTATTGCCAACAGTCATACAGAATAATGATAAACCCATACAACCAAATGATTAAATCTGTAAACATAATTTGGACTTCTTTGTTTTTATTTCCTTTTTTAACTATACCTGTTCCAAAATAGTGAGTTTCTGTGTGATTCCCTCCAACAAAGATTTATATTCAGAATCTGGAAATGATACATTTATAATATATAATAGGGAGGGAGGGAGGGAGAGAAAGAGACAGATAGAGAGAGGAAACAGTAGTCTCAAGCAGCAACACGCAGCAGGGCAAAACACAACCTCTAGTGAACAGGCATGCCCCATTGAAGATTAGCTATTGCACTTTGAAGAAAGAGAGAGAAAAGAGAAATAAAAATACCATTTGTACAAATAAAAGGCACATTTTCATCAACAGCAATCTGGAAAGAAGCTCTGTTCTTTTTGTGTCCCAGCGTGTTTGGTTGTATAATTTCTTTATGCCACACAGCTAATCATGTTGTTATCAGAGAGATTCAAGTATGGAGATGTTCCTGCTAAATTATATATTCATACGCTTTGTTCAAAACTTTGTCAAGATGGTTCTACAAATTTGCACTTCAGAAGTTTAATATAAATAGCATTCTGCTTTTTGAAATTTGGCGCATTATTCCTTCTCCCAAGATATTAGATTTGATGAAATTACGTCACAAAGGATTGTTTTTAAGTAAATGGGTGATAACTGGCAAAAATATCATGATTCTTTGCGCCCTTTTTTTTCTCACCTTCTCTCAATCAAATATTCTGCCTCTTCCACTCTCAAGGACACAAGGAATCAAGGGAAAGTCTTATCAGCTTCAACCAAAATTAATCCGGAGGTGAATATTTTCATATGGATCCCTCTTTGCTAAAATAAGTGTTGTTGTGAGATGCATGTATTGTACACTCCCTCTTGCAGCAAAATACAGGCACGTTATATTACATTGCATCTGTCTTGTCAAACTCATTGAACACATGCTGATTTTGGTTCAATTGAAGTGGTCCAGTGCATATCAAATACAATGCCCCATTCATTTGGTATCCATTAGAGTACTGACAATAGTAAGGATGAGAGCATTTGAAAAGTCTGTTGCTAGAGGGACTGTGGATGGAAAGTAGCTCAAAGCTAAATCCGGCATATTTACACTTGAAATATTTATTGTTTTAAGTGTTCATGAATGTGCATGCCCCTGCCAAATGAACGATTACATTAAAAAAATTAAAAAAGAACTGCTGTGTATTATTTCTTTGAGCCATGTTGAATGTCTGATTCCCACTCTACAAAAACAGTGTGTTTAAGAGGAAATACAGCAAACCGTTCTGAGGAATGGTTGTGTACAGTGGACGGCAAAATGAAAATTAACTCTGAACTGTAAAGCAAAAAAAATGTTGGTATCGGAATTCTTAAAGTAATACACAGCCAGCATCCTTTGCTACTATTAGGTGATAACACAAGAGGTGAGTGCGACTGACGGGATAAAAAGTACCTCTGTGATGACATCTAGTGGCAAAACAGTAGTCTTGCAATAAGATATCAGTGAGAAATTCCTTTTGTTTTAATAAATAAGTGAAGGTCATCTCATAATAACCATGATGTATTGAGTGCACACTTTGTGTTTGCCTAATTCTTAAGTAAAAATGGTCAATTACATCTCAACACATTGGTAATCTGATTGTGCTATTCATTTGCGGTCATTCAAATAATAACAATACCTTTTAAAAGTCCACCAAAAAATGCTAATTAAAAATGTGAGAATATCAATTGCATGACCCAAGCCCCCAAACTAATCATTGACTACACACCTAAAAGAAGAATCCAGAGGGAACCAATTCAGAAATAATCACTGGTTGAAAAGCATAAATAGTTGTTACAGTGTCAGCATACACAAGCACCTCTTTCAAATGAAGGGGTTTCAAGGTCTACGAACAATGTCCACAAGAACAGTTGATTTTAAGTCATGCGACTGCAGTGACACGAGAAAACACATCATTAAAAAAAGTTTATCTTTAAAGCCATTGACAGCACTATGAAGGATGCCTGTCAGCACCCCAACACGTTGTGACTACTGCAAAGCAAAACACATTCAGGTCTAATCCCCAATAAAAGCAGATTTCATATAGTGACTAATTTAGTGAGCTGTCACACTATCGGAGAGATTAAAGGACCTTTTTTTATCAAACTAATTCATTAAAAACTAAGTTTTCCAAACGGTTTGTTTGCTCATCCTCTCAGCCAACGGCTTCTGTAGAAATGTGGTTGTGCTTGACAGACAAAACTAAAATTGTAGGTCTTTATTCTAAAATACTCTTGTTAACACCTCTTTGAGGTTTGATTTGCACTTCATCTAAACTACAAGAACAATTGTCTTTTTTTATTCTTTTAGCTTTTAAACACCAAATCAAGATATTATGTCCAAATGCACCTATGTCTTCTCAAAAATATAGCATTTCAGTCCTCACAACAAAATAATAACAGTTCTATAAATAATTTATTTTATCTTAAACAAATCTTGGGTCTTCCAGTGTCTCCAGGAAAGTAAGCACGGGCCAATCCCCCAAAATCACTGTCAGCGCGTAAAGCCTTCAAGCATCTTCTCATGTTCCATCTTCAAGTTTCAGGATGATAGGAGAGACTGTTCAGAGCTTCCCATGTCCCAGCAGGCATTGCAAACATCACTGTTTCCTCCCAACGGGCAGCAGGAGACACAGTTCACTCCCAGCTGACACAATCGGCAGATTGTTGTCACGGTGATGGCAAATAAGATGGCTAATGCTGTCAAATATATGGTCTTTTGTCCGTACCTTTGAAAAGAGAAAGAGGGGTTAAATATCTGTCATGACCACATTAGGAGTTCACACTCTACACTTCCTTTAGCCACGTCTTACCGTGCCTTCAGGGTCCACCAGCAGCAGGTGTTTGGAAAGTCCATTGTGCATGCCCGTCAGGACGTAGGACCCCGGGTTGGTAGTGCTCTTACGAACCAGGAAGTCTCCGTCTTCTTTCAGCAGTTTCTCAGCGTCGCGGCGGCTCATTTTGCCATGGTACCACGTCTTGCCCTCCAGCTCCTCCTGGGCCCTGAAGGCCACGGAGCGCACGAGCAGAGGACTCAGGTTGTCCACGGACGCCGCCTTGTGGAGGTTGGACACCTGGGGCTGGGCCGGCCCCTGGGACCCCGGGTTGGACTGCGACTGAATGGCATCCCCAAAGGGCTCTGGTGTAAGTTAGAGCAGGGCCGAAACAATCAATTAAGAGAGGATGGATTTCTGTAGTATGAGTTTTAACTTGACATCCTACAACCGTCAGGACTTGTGAACTGTGACATCAATAATATCAGATACTATAATGGTTAGTAAAAAAAACTAAATATGTCTCTTAGAAATAGAAAGTCATTGCTGCTTTAGCCAGACCACAGGGTTTTCATTTCTTCATAGCAGTAAAATGAATAGTAACCCTAGTCTATTTGAAGCTTTAATTGTTTGTAGGCATATCTCATGACTGTAAATAAAAAAAATACAAAAATGAACAACATCGTCGTTTTGAATAAAGTCATTGCTGTTACTCCGCAATGTATGTGTGCAACAGGCGGGAGAGAAAACTGTTTGTGGACTGTTGTAAAACTGTTGTTTTTGAATGGAAAACATCATGAAATATAGATTGAAGCAAATACATCGAATACAATAGTCTTAATACTTATATTACACTATTCCATTGATCAACAAGTGGCGGTAATGCAGTTAGAGATGTAGCCATACACTAGATAAAGGCAAAGGAAAAGTATACTGCAAGCAAAAAACCTGGATTTAAAGCATAACATTACATTACATGTCACTTGTTAGACGCTTTTATCCAAAGCGACTTACATACTCAATCCCCACAGGAGCAATTTGGGGTGAAGTGTCTTGCCCAGGGACACAACGACATGCTGACTGCAGTGGGGTTTGAACCTGTGACCCCCTGACCCCAACACCAACGCACAACCCACTGCACCACACACCTTCCCTCATAAACAAATTGGAACAAAATATATGTAAATGAAAAACACTGAAGTATTCTGATCCTGTGTCTTTCCTATTTAATCAAACGTCCTTTCTAGAGTAACTAACACATCTCCTGCTGTGATATGTAACACACAAACATCTTCTTCCAAACTAATTATGAAATAACCATTTAAATCAATTAGAAAATCTTATTTTTTGAATGGAATTGGATTTAGAGTGTGTTAGTGGAGGAACAAAGTATAATGGGACTGTTAACAGTGAGAGAACTACAGCAGGAGGAGGATAACACCTCACACTTAATTTTGAATGTTATAGTTTATGGCTCACATGTAATTTGTGTCATGTATTTCTCATACATAGTTACAAAGATCTGTATGTAACAGATATTTCATGTATAATTAAAGAAAAGCTAAGGTGGAAGTTGAACAGATGAAAGAATAAAACTGCAGATGATAACACTCCGCCTTTTGTCTCCTTTTGATGTCACTGAGAAACTAAAAGCTGGGGAAACTCTATAATTAAGAACTCTGATTAGAAAGTCATTACAGTGTTATTCTGAAAGCCAAAGAACATTATGATACTATTCACATGATCAGCGTTAAAGTGAACATTCAGGAGAGACTTACTCATGTCGAACAGGTCCTTCTGAGGGCTCTCTTTGGCTGCGGCCGCCATGCCCTTCGTCACATTTTCTGCCTCTGCCTGGAGTGCAGCGAGCACCTGGGCGTCGATCTGCTGAGTGTTCACATACGCCGGCATCTCTGCTGTTTTTGAGGCCTGACCTTTACTCTCCGGCAGACTGTTTATGTCGAAGGATCCTACATTGGAGAAACAATCAAAGCCACAGTGTTCAATTTATGAAATTCATGTCTTGAGTATTCAAGTCACAGGAAAGTGTGTATTTTCTTACCCTGTTGTATGATTATGGGCTTTCTTCCATCTCCCCAGTGTTCTCCACAGTGCCGCCCTTGGTAATATGTCTGATCCACTGAAGCTGGGCCCATCTGATGACAAACAGAAACCCAGAGAGAAATCATGAGTTGATATTTTAAAATGAACAAAGTGCACACACACATAAAGGACATTGGTGTGGAAGTTCTTCAGCATGAAAAGGAAGACATGAAGCTTGATATTTTGACACCTGCAAGTCTGTGGAGTTGCAAGATTAAAATGATCCTGTTACTTGGTGCAGTTTTGGAGAAATTGTAAGTGATATAATGTTCAATGTTTTTTTTTAAAATAACATACATATGACATTTCATTTTCTTTGAAAGAAGAAGTTACCAAAATGTTTAAGAATGCGCTCAATATTTCTCTTAACGCTCTACAAAATTGCAATTGGTGTATCTCTAATTTTGCCCCAGGAAAAAATAAATTACTCTGCTAAATCCTGAGATTATCCAACATAAATTGAGTTGTACCTGGCCTCCCTCTGACGCTGCGTTCTGATTGGTCAGCCGGGTGTCGATGAAGCCTCCAGGGGGCGGCATCTTCCCGGGGATGTTGTTGTAGTAAGGATGCTCTGATGACTCCTCCTCTTCCTCTGTCCATGGCAACTCCTCCATGTTTAATACCCTGAGGACAAATATGGGTTGATCATGAAACACAATACTGCCAACGTGTGTGTGTGTGTGTGTGTGTGTGTGTGTGTGTGTGTGTGTGTGTGTGTGTGTGTGTGTGTGTGTGTGTGTGTGTGTGTGTGTGTGTGTGTGTGTGTGTGAAAACAGTGTAACTGTACTGAAATCATGTGTGAATATGTCAATGTGCTTATCATTTACTTTGTCCAAAGCTAAAAGAAAAGGTATGTTGTATGTTTTATATTTATCTTCTGAGGAAATGCCAGAAGAATTTTAGGAAAAATGCCTCTACAGGAACAATAAGGTTTAATGCCCTGTATCATATACCCTACCTGTCATGTGTAGAGGACATTTTGCTGGAGGGACACTGAAGGTACTGCTGGAAGCGAAGGTCAAAGGCCTGGCCGATGGTGCTGATAACGTCCTGGGCCAGCCCATCAGAGCACTCCAGGATGTGACATGCTGACGATGGCCAGAGCAACACACTTTAATGAGCATGTTGAATGTAAGATATCAAATATATAGAGATCAGAGGGACGTACACCTACCTCTTCTGTTCACAGGGTCCTTTGCTACATAGGCAACAAAATCTGTTGTGTCCTTAAAACGAAAGGGAAAAATTATAACTGTTGTTATAATATCCAGTGATAAAATACAACAAAACCATAACATGAATTGTGTGGTTTATTCAATCTTTTTGTTATGAGGTAGTTGAGGTTTTAAATATCACTAAACTCTTTGACAGTGTTGAGTTACTTACGGGGTCTCCACCTGATGCAAAAGAGATGGACTGCATGTGATGGTTGGCTATGATCTGTCAAGATAAAAAGTATCATGTACATATCAATTAGCAAATGCCTCTTTACAATACAAATGCATCAAATTCTACACATATATTTATGTATACTGTATAAGAATAATTTGGTTTATTTATTGGCCATTACCAACTAATTTATTAAAAGAGAGAAGATCGATGGCTGTTTAGTTTAACTTTGATGAGCTACAACTATGAGTTTGTTGAGTGAGATTTGGTGCTTAGAAACAGCTTTTCTAAAACTCTCTGCGCTTAGAAACTGATACTCAATATTTGTTTTAATGTTATGTGGTGTATACGTGTGGATTTTAAATTTGTTTATTTATATAGCACCATCTGCAGGTAGTATCAAAAAGAGCACCAGGGTGAACAATAACCACAACAAAATAAATATTTTAAATTTGTTTTATTTTACCCATAAACCATAAGCTAAATGTTATGAAGTGCATGGGGGCAGTCATGTTGCCCACCTCCTTCATTTATGTTGCAACATGGAGAGCTTCTGTGCTCTTGCTTGACTCCCTCCTTTTATTACATAAACCTCCTTAAACAGACCTTCTGGATTCTATTTTAAAAAACGTGTCACTTTAGAAACCGCTAAAAATAAGATCTCTAAATTTAGAATGTCCTCTGATCTTTCTTTGGCTCTGGAGATTTTCTCTTTATCCTGTAGATACTTGGGTAAATATTCTGAAAACACAAGGTACTTAAGGTAACTATTCACCAAGCTTGAAACATATCTCATGGCCTTCATCAGTTAGTGTTTTTAAGGTTATTTATTTCTTGTGCGTCACACACATATTTATATAAGTTGATGGGGGATTTTTTTTAACAAAACAATGGTGGCACTATTTTCTTAAATGCATGCCTGTGGCTCACAGAATCACAAGTGTTGATAAAGGTTGCACACTGACCTGTTTGCAGTCGGGGGTCATCAGGTTGAGGCTACTGGTGGAGATATTCAGGTTGATGGACATGCCAGCAAACTGCAGGTTGCTCTTCCCCAAGATACTGGACAGAGCTTTGGACGGTGGCTGAGGGGATCACAGGAGGACACAGACACACACAAATAAAATGAAATACATCAACTAAGTCTCTTCTTACCAATTAAACAGTATATCTTAAATGTTATAAAAGCTTAAATGATGTCTCTAAAGTATAAATGAAGCTGCAGCCAGAAGTCGGTTGGCAGAGAGCTGCTTAGTTTAGCTTAGCATAAGCATTGGGAAAGATGTCAAAAGATCCATGCTATTTGTTTCCCTGTTAACAGGCTCTATGTTAAGTTAAGCCAGTGGTTCTCAAACTTTTTCTGTCAGGCCCCCCCTTTGGAGAAAAAAAAAAGTCAGGCCCCCCCAACACAAATAGTCACGTAATGAGAGTCCTTTAGTTCACTGAGCCTCTCAGTCTGACAGGAGAGGACTCTCCTCCACCTTGTTGTGGAAAAAGCTCCTTTTATATCCGTTAGTGTAGCTCGCTAGCACCAGAAGCTAACAACAACGATCTCCAGTACCGTTGCGCTCTCTCTCTCTCACACAAAATGGCTTGTTACACACACACACACACACACACACACACACACACACACAACACACACACACACACACACCACACACACACACACACACACACCACACACACACACACACACACACACACACACACACACACACACACACACACACACACACACACACACACACACACACACACACACACACACACACACACACACACACACACACACACACACACACACACACGAGCTTGAATGAAACACAGAGACCCAGACGTACTTGTACTGTACTATATCATATTATTTTCGAATCAATAATTTTCCAAATTATGATTTTTTTTTTTTTTTCCCTAACCATTTTTCCTCCTGGTCTCTCACCACCCCTGTCATGCCTCTGCGTCTCCCCCAAGGGGGGCGTGCCCCCCACTTTGAGAAACACTGAGCTAAGCTAAGCCTACCTACTGATCTAGATTCATATTTAGTAAGTTTCTGAGAATAAATGACAAAGCAAACTTACCAAAAATGAACAATTACTAAACTCTTCCTTTAAGGAGACATACACCAGGTGAATTGTAGAATAAATAATATAATGGACTAAACGAAATCTCTATGAAATGTCTCCAGTTAAGCATTTATGTCAAAACAGTTATTTTTACTTGTTTATTACAAGTTTTCCTAAAATTGTTTGCAAGGTATACATTTTCTAACGATAACCTTTGGTTAATTTAAGAGAAATCTACAGATGCAAACAGAAAAACTTGGTGTTTTCTTTTCACTAAACTGAAAAATAAACGATGAGAGCAAAATATCTAACTCTTAAATTCTACCAGTGCTTAAAAAAAAAACGATGTTTCAGCCTGCAGTGTCTCACCTTAAGGAGTAATGTAAAGGGTCATTTCACTATTATTTAGTTAATACAGAAGAAACATTATTATTTATTGATTACTGTTGGTGCCATGCAAATAAATCTAATAATAGGTTTGTGAGTGAATTAATGAGTGTTGATAAGAGAAGGGGCGATTAAATAAAATTAGCCATTCAAAACTCTCAGTATGAGGCTGATGTCACCACAGTGCATTTGTCACACAGCCAAATTATCATCATCTTATATCTTACATTTATTCTGCGAGAGAAACTAGTCTACGTGATTTTTTTGGTGTTATATACTCTTCCCTGACATTTGAACAAGCTCTAGAGAGCAGAGTAATGCTTCATTTCACACCCCACATTAAGACACAGTCTTCTCACACACTGTGGACACACACCATGCACACGCACACACAAACACAGGGAAGACAGACGCTCACACACACACACACACACACTAGCTCAGTCTCCTGATCACAGATATTGTGCACTACATGAGTCACTAAGCACTGTGCGCGCGGTGTGCAATGCATCGTGGGCTGAAGCTACGCCCACGCACATACAGTCCCATACCTCTTCATCTCTCCTCTGCCTCTCTCTCCCTCTATTCTCTTAGTACAATCCCTCGATCTGTCTCCGTTTTCCCTCTCTTTTTACATGAAGGAAGAGAGGAAGAACTTACAGAGGCGATGCTATTTATAGAAGGTGGAAGAGTAAATGAATATCTAATGTTGTTTCCTCTTTTTTTCTCCCTTCTGTACCATTAAGTAACATTCATTTTGATCAGCTCTCTCAGTGTAGAGATCACTTTTCCCATGATCCCTACATCTCACTTCCTCCCTCACTTCCTCCCTCCCTCCATATACCTTTCTCTTGCGCAGAGCTCCTTTGGTCCCTGGAACAGCCTCACACACCAGGCTGATGGCTTCCCTAGAGAGAGGGTGAGAGGAGGGTGAAGCCAAGATGGTGACCATAGACAGCCGCAGAGTCAGAGTAACTACCCATGATAATGCTTTCAAAACAATATGAACAATATTCTTATCTTACAAGGAAAATGTCCATTCGTGCATATGCCAAAAATAACTCTCAGCCATCATGCTAACATGCTAATGTTTAGCAGGTATCATGTATATTAACCTTAGCTAGTTAGCACTAATCACAGAGTACAATATATTTTAGCAAATTGAGATGTAGAGGCTGATTTTTTATTTTTGGGAACACAAGTTGTTTCATGTTTTCGTTAAGTGGGTACAATTAGGTTCGTTAATAGTTAAATAATTATTTAATGATCACCCATCAATTCCTTATTAATACAGCTAGTCATTCTCTCTCTCCCATTACACCTTTGCATATTACGATGTGACTGTTCATTCCAGGAATACATGGACAATACAATGTTGGCTGTATGTAGAATAAAATAACGTTTTTGACTTGACATGTGTAACTGCCTTATGTATTTCCTGTAGTTCATGTTTTGCTTGCATACAATTATTGCTTTATCTATAAATGTATCGATTCATATGATGTTGTGTATATTAACCATAGACTGTATATATAAATATATTAACATATGGCAGATGAATACAATTTAGCCATGAATAAATGATACCAAAAAAAGGAAACAGACTGACAGATAAATTAACACACTAAACTAATACAAAAAAATATGTTATTTAAACAATGCCTGGACTCAACAGGTTGTTACATATTACATACAATCACATTGACCACAAGAGACCTGCGTCAGGATTCAATATGCAGTGACATGCATGACACACCAACGAGTAAAGTCTAAAATTACTTTTAAGAAATGACCACCGTAATAAAAACGTTTACATATATGACGACAACAAGTGGATTAAATGGTGGATAAAAGTAGAGCTGCATTGATGCAGAAGAGTCAAATCCCGCTCTGAGACAAAGTGAATATTTGGTTTCATGACAGAAACGCTAATGTTTGTGTCTTTTCTAGGTGGATAAATCACATAGCAGTAGATTATTCTAGAAAAGTCATCATCTAGTAATAGCAGTAGCATGAGACATAACATTTGTCTTTGTTTGTCTATCTCTCTTTATTAGAGGAAAACTGAAACACACATGCACAATAAGAGAAAGTAAGAGAGTGCTGCTGTGTGGCTTTGCAAACTACCGTTAGTCTGGACTGACTTCAGGAAGTCAAGCATAAAAGTGGACATGACACAAACCGATTCACTGCTGGCCTTTGCCTCACTGCACATTGGTCAATGATTTCTAACATACACATGGAGTCAGAACATTCCATGCAAACACATTGTGATAACAGATGTACGCAAAATTATTTAATGTTTTAAAACAATATTTATCTAATTGCCGATTGAACCTTTTAAAACTGACTAATTATACATGTCAATGAACTAAGACATGACAGAGAGAAGTGATTTTATTACAAAATAAAGTGTTTTAGTAGACAAAAATGTAAATGTTTAAACAACTACAGTGTAGTCACCTAAAAACTATTTGTGACATCAAAGATTTTCACTGATCTGATCCATGGAAAATGTAAATAGAGTTATATTTATGACATTATTTTTTATTCAAAAATGTTTGAGATTTCGTAGTAAAGCCTTCAAAATAACTCAAAACAAATGTTGGATAGTTAAGAATTATATCAAGTGTTCAGTTTAGTTTCTCTTTAAGTGTTGTTTGTGGGTTTTAATAGTAAACTGGGATAATGACTGCTGTACTGAATATAGTTTTGGAGTAAATCTAGTCAATCATGAAAAGTCCGAATCCAAAGTGTTACCAAACATACCTTGTAATTTGTGATCTTGTGGTGAAATCCAGAGATCTCATTGACCGAAGGACTTCTAAACAGCCGAGATACTGGAAAGCAAAAAGGACAAACGTTACATTCATGATTACAAACATACCTCATTTATTTGCATCAATCTAAACTCACTAATTCCAAGAAACAGTAATGCTACTACAACATACAATTCATTTAAAATAAATAATGCGTTTTGATAAGGAAAACTTAAAAGATACATTTGTTTGTTTACGATAAAAACTGCAGTTTAACTTCTTGCTTTTGGAGCACAAATGACTAATCGATAAATGACACATACTGTGATAAAAAAAACAACTAACAAATAATCTAAAACTGCGCGTAATAGTTGCAAATACGCATGAACCTGTATTACATCAGGAGTTTCTACTTCCTACATGTAGTTAAAAAAAGAAACACCCGGCAAGAGTTTAAAAGCCAGTCTGACATGATTTCTTGTGTTACTATGCCACATGAGGTGGCTGTAGTCCCAACATCCCATAAAACCATCTTCAGCCCCAGCCACCTACTCACATTACAACACCTCCTGTGATTAATATTGCACAGGCCGAGAACATTTTGTGCTGACGAGTTCCTATTGTTACCAGAATCACATTCATAATCTGTCTGTAAACAAAACAGAAATCCAGACACACTAATGTTTCTATTTCTACTCCTTTCTCAGAAGTATTAGAATCATAACTTTCATATTATGAAGCCCCTTCTCTCCAGCGAGCGTTTAGCAAACAAATACAGTTTTGTCAATATGACGTTTGCAGATTTTTAGTGTCATCTATTTTCAGTACGGAGAGTTTAAAGTGCACAATTCAGCAGGGCCAAAAATAAATCAAACGGTTATAAAAATGCTAGAGACCTATTCTGAGCACATTTCCTCTCGTGCTGTACGAAAGAACAGGAACATGGTTCCCACAGTGCCACTGAACTTCAAATTAATTATGAAAATCAATGGGAGGCCTGGTCTGAAGAAATGATTTCAGTGAAAGAAAACATGCATTCACAAAACTACACAAACATGCACACTACTGACTTTAAAAACAGAAGAAGAGCTGAAACATAAAACACATAATAATGGATTCAGTTGTAACTTACTAAAGTTCTGATGTTATGTTCATAAATTCAAATGTATTCCAAATGATAACGGGTATATCTCATTTCCCTCATATTTACAATGTCACAAGATGTGTTGGTTCCATAATGTGCATAGTTACACTCAACTCTGTACAGTCTAGGCTGTCCTAAGTGGTTTTGATTTTTTTAGCTTTTATGGTTCTTTGTATATTTACATTGGGTGTGAATACTTGTCTTTAGTATCCTTTTAAATGCTAAATTCTTTCTTAAAAATAATAATTTTGTATTATCCTTATATATTTATTTTTTTATCTACTATTGCAACGTATCTTCTTAGATTGTGTTTGTTCGCACCAAAGCATAAAGCTAATTCATTGTATGTGTAAACGTACCTGCCAATACACTTGTTTCTGATTCGGATATGTCCGGTACAGAGAATAAAGCACATATCTAATAAATAAACTTTCATTTAGTCTTGTGTGTTGATGAAGTGTAATAATAAATGTTAAAAAACAGGAAGAATATGCAACAAATAAGGATGTGCACTAACTAAAACATACTAACCAGTCCAAAAAGGATGCTAATTTGTATCAAACACGCAGCTCTAGTCAATATTCTTATATTACCAAGAGATCGCATGACTATTTGTGAAGGGGTCGCTTTAATTTAGTGTTTTTTCATGTTAGCTATTTGTTTTGGCCTTTTTTGGTATAACACACAGCTACAATGGGCCAAAAGTGAGAGTGTAAACAGTGTCACTGTCAATCTATGTCCCTTTAGAGTAATGGTGCATGATGCGCGCGGAGTGACCGCATGACGCTAATTAAAAGTGCTGTGAGCATAACACCACGCTGAACTCAATACACACAGGACCTCAAGCCACAGGAAAAGCAGAGGGTAGGGGCGCACGGACTGGACACATTCCCCCTCTCACCGTGTGGATGCTTTCAGCGGCATTGACTGGACAAATAAGCGCTCCCGTCCTTAATGCAGTTAATGGAATGTCACGCTGGTCACAGATACTGGAGGCTTTGTTCAGGCAAGTTATAGTGGGTGTCATGTGATGGCAATCATACCGTGTAACTTGATTTGGAAATAACACATTGCTCTTAAGTATGCTAAAAACGACTTTTTATGATGTGCTACATAAATCAAAGAGGATGTACTGCTTGTTTTGGTTGCAGTGAAAATGGTTTGTTCCGTTTTTCATTCACTTTACACCTTGAAGAGCTCAGCATCATCACTCCTCATGCTAGTGACTCATTGCCGGCATGATGACATTCACAGCTCTCGTAGTTGTGCGCCAACTTGTGCCCCTTTAAATGATGTATGATGGCTGCACATTAACATGAGACACGGATGCTGTGAGACAAACATTCTCTGTATGTCTTCTTTTCCCCCTATTCCACCATTTCACTATCTGAGAGCTAAAACAGCCACAGAGCTCATAGAGATGCACAATGTACAGAAATAACACATCACCATGGTTACAAAAGCATAACGCTGTGGCTGCACATACACAAGACGAACGGTATGAATTGAAATGTTTACAGCATGCTCAAAACGACGCTGATAATTGCGTGTATTGTTTTCCCATCACATTTTTCCTAAACCCCCTAATGTTGACCTTCCCCATTTCCTGAATTATTAAATGTCTATTTTCTCGTCGCTGCTCCTTCTGCTGTAGCCAACCTACATACACCCACTCAAGGGCATGTTGTGATGTGCCAATGGAACTACATTATCTCCCCGTTACCCCCTCCCCCCTTCAGGTAGCTGAAGCTTGAGTCATTGAAAGAAAAGAGAGAATGGGTAAAGAATGTAAAAGAGGGGGGAGGACAAAAAAACTGAAAATGAGACCACCAACCTTCACAATATATGTCACTCCTGGACCAGAGATCTTCTCGCTCGAGTGTAGCCACCCTCGGGGGGGTTTGCTCAACAGTCCGCCACCCCCACCTGTGTTCCAGTCCTCTCCGGCGGGCTGGTGCTCGTCCAGCCTGCTCTTCTTGCTCATGTTGATGGGGGATGAATGGGAGGCTGAGCCCACACCAGAGGCTGCCGCGCTGGGGCTCGAACCACTGGATCCCCCACCCCCCTGCAGCTTAGACACAGCCAGGTCCTTGACAGCCGAGGGCAGACCTTTGATGCCCAGCAGGCTGCCTGAGTTGCTGAATTTCAGGCTGGACACCTTGTTGATGAGGGTGCAGAGGGTGGTGCCTCCATCTTCCAGGTGGTCGGAGCCGTGGCCGGTGGAGGTGCTGGAAGCAGTGGTGGAGGTGGAGGAGGCCTGGACCTCCGTCGGGGGCGTGTAAGATGTCTCGGCTGCAGACTGGGGGGTGGCCGAGACCTTGGGGTTCATGGACAGGCCGTGGAGAAGCTCATCGACGGATGTTACTGACTCATTCCTGAAGCGGTTGTATTTGGTACGGTGAAGCATACCCTTCTCTCTCTTGCTCTCTCCACCAACCGACGCGCACAGCCTGCCTTTTTCACAAGTGTGCTGGCAGACGTGGCTGAGCCGTGCTGATTACCCTCTCCTGTAACATAGCAGCAGCGGTACAGGCAGCAAACGCCTTTTAGCAATCAAAGGCCACCTGACTGTAATTTTCTCTATTGGAGGTTACAGTGGTGGTTGTGTTGAGCTGCTGCTGCTGCTGCTGTCGCCAAAGTCCAATCTGCTCTCAGTAAAATCCAGAGCTGCAATCCAATCCGTCAGAGAGCAATATACAGACACAATCCATGGAAACACAGCATTGAGGCAGAGGAGGAAGAGGATGGAGAGGAAAAAGGTCTGTAAAAGGCTGCCAGTGTTGTGGTGCAGCTTGTTTGGTTTCCAGCGGTGATGCTGCTGATGGCCTCAAAAATCCAAAAAGTAAGAGAACAGAGAAAGGTCTATGTTGTCGATGATCACGGATACTGCGAGGGAAGAGCAAACACTCTCTACTGACTGCTGCCTGCCTGCCGGCTCAGAGCTAAAGCATGACTCACTGATCTGAGAAAACCTTCTCAACAAAAGGCTTGCTGAACACTGCAAATCACTTCCTGTCGGAGGGAGAAAAAAAACTCCCACTCACAGCACACTAGAACCAATCAATTTTTAAATTCCCCAGTCTGATGTTTATTCTCTGTAATTCTTCCCTTCTTGTTTGTTTTTCTGGGAAAAAGGAAATGAGGAATGAGAGGTGATTATTTAACTTAGCAAGACAAATATTGAGAATAATTTGCTTGACTTTCTGGTCGTACACAATTAATATCTTATTTAAGGGATGAACTGTTCAAAAGCTGTGACAGGTTACACGCCATCAAATTATCACAGAAATTATGATAAATAAAATAGGTAATGAAAACTATCCTTTTCACTGGCAGTTAATCATTTCAAACGTTTTTCATTAAAGAATAAATTCTCAATTTTAATGTTTCATAAAGACGTCATTTTCCTATAAGGATGTTAATCCATACGTTCAACCACTGAAAGCAACAATACAGTCAAATGTTAGCATGATCGCAAAATACGCAACATCATTAATATATTGTCCATGTTAATTTATAATAGCTGCAGATTATGGGCAGAGAGTTGGTTCTTATATATACTTTAAAAAAAACGATATCTTCCTAATACACTTGTTGTTTCTGCACAATGTATTAATAATCATCCATTAATGCAAAAATAAATAAAGCTATTTTTGTATACACATATAAATTGTTTTGAGAGCATTCGTCTAATGTGCAGCTCTGATTCTCTATCTATGTTCTGCAACAAAGGCATAAGAAATCCAATTCACAACAAGGGAGCAGGAACAATCTCACAGCTCGTCTAAAATAACCCATCAATTGGTCCGGCTTGAATTACATGAATGACACAACTAAAGAAAAAAACCCCGGCATGAACGACGTGTTTCTCAGGCAGATGAGTCAATGAAACAACGGAAAGGATAACAGAAATAGCCCACGAGTCTCCTTAAGACCGACAGCAATGAAGCATCCTTGTCTCCCCGGTAGCGGAAAGCACACAGCCAGACACCATTCATGTAAAATGTCCTCAGGAGCATCTAGCAAAGCCAAAAGACTGACACTCATTCATAAGCAGCTTCCGCTCTCACTCTGCTGCAGATTTCGCACTGCAGTCCCTCCCAACATCTCTCTTTCCTGCCTGGCAAATATAGAAAAAAGAAAAAAAAAAGAAAGACAGCACGTCTGCCTTCTCTCCTCAGAAAAAAAGGCAAACACCAAAGCAGGGAAGAAAAGGCAGGCCCTCGCAAATCATCAAATGAGGAGGCAATAAGACAAAAGGAGAACAAGAGCAGAGGACAAAAGGCATGCAATATTTAGTCTTTTATGTGAATGAAATAGCAGGCTGGCATACCAATGTTTCTGTGAATGGAAGCAAGGCCTTTCTGCCTCTGCAAGGCAATCCCTTGGGATGGCATGGTCTTATCCAATGAGGAGCCGGCTGGATGACTCATTCAGGGGAGGCTTGCAGAATAGTGGAAGAGACCATTCCAGACGCAGGTGCACATTTTGTTTTCTCCCGACTGCCCTTTAAAAATGATACGTACATCATCAGAGCTGAGATGCTGGAGTGATTTAATGAGATACTGTTGAGGTATAACGAAAAGAGACGGAGAAATATACCCATAAAAGGAATCAGAAGAAAAAATGCCACCCCCATGATTTGATTGTCACCATTATCAGCTCCCCCCCCCCCACATTCATGTTAACAGTTACCACCTACACATTTAATTAGCAATTTACTGTTTATATGTATGAGGGCAGATAGTACAAATGTACTAGAACAACAGATGTGCAAATTTGGTTAGACGTATATTTGGATAACACTTGTATTTGGAAAAAGACATAATAAGTATCCTTTTATATTTTATATTAGAAGGATATCCTGTATGCTAATATGTGTTATATGTTGCTGTCGATAACGTTTATTATACATTGTAGGAGCCATAATGCTTGTTTTGCCATCACTTATTACTTCTATTATTATTATCTTCATTTCTGTTTGCATCACATTTAATTCTTATTGTTTATGACTTCCGGCAATGGTCACGTGGGTGTGGTTTATTGGTATGTAGTCACCTGTTGGATGCCGGTTTGGAGGATATGATGTAGGAAGAGGGTGAATGGCGCTCTGGTTGACCGTCAGGTCTGGAGTTGTATATTGTTTGTTTTCGTCTTTATTAAACGCTATTAAAGGGGCGGTGGTGGCGAAGTCGATAGGGACTTGGCTTGGCAACTGGAAGGTCACCAGTTCAAGTCCCGGCAAGACCAAGTGCTACCGAGGTGTCCCTGAGCAAGGCACCGTTCCCCACACTGCTCCCCGGGCGCTGTTCAAAATGGCAGCACACTGCTCCTAACACTAGGATGGGTCAAATGCAGAGAAACAATTTCCCCACGAGGGATTAATAAAAGTCCATCTTATCTTATCTTATCTTAAACGCCATGGACTACAAATGATTACGGACTCTTAAATGGAACGCGTCACAGCAAAGAGCACATTTCAGCCTCTCAGCGGCTAACTCATAGGGAGTTATTGCCGCTACATACATCTTGAAGTCATTTGCAATTTTATTACCTCTGAAGCTATGATTATTACCGCTTGTTTTTGGGGGGTTTTGCTAGCAATGAATATTTTTCACTTAAAACAGTGGTTTAATGATGATTTTTAAATAAATAAAATGTTACTTTAATATAGTAGTACTTGTACTTTTTAATTCTTTGAATACACCACTGCCAAAGCGAAAATAAAAAACTACCACATAGAGTCAAATCATTTTCAGTGGTGCTGCAGGTTATACATTCAGCCAGCGACAGCTCCTCTGTCGTCAAAACAGCTGACTGTAAACCTGCTTTTACCGGCATCTGTTTGAAATGTAGGACTCATCATGTCACATTTTTACTGTCAAATTTAAGTGACAAGATTTAAATGGCAAAAAGACATAGCAACAGTAACTACGAGGGGTTGGGCAGGGCTAATGTAAAGGTCCAAATGAAACCTGAGGACCTTTCCTCTAGCACCACCAGCAGGTCAACATTGTTGTCTTTTTGTGTAACGTCAACAAAAAATAGACGGAAGGAAGTCAATAAGGTTTTTCCAATGTTCAGGTGTTTTACTAAATCTTATATATATATATATAAAATAATACTTATTGTTCTCCTAAGAGAGTGCACTATGGGATTAGGAAGGATCTGGTCACATTTTTCACTCAATTGTTCAATTCTTCCAGTAGCTGAATTGGACCTCAGGCTATTTTCAATGTGTAGATAAGGGGACACATGTGTAATAAGGCTCTACTCACACATTGCAGTGCTCTGTAAGCAGGAGGCAGAGCACCTGAGGCACAGAAGGTCCTTTCTCTGTGAAGTAGGCTGCATAGGCCACAGCGTGGGCTTCCTGCAGTGTATGATGGGGTCCATCCAAGGAAAGGTCAGTCTCTAATAAATAAATAAAATGGCACAAACATAAACAGGATTATTCTCTTCAATAAGATTTGAGTGAATCCAAACGAACAACAGGTAACTCACAGGTCAAGCGTTCACCATAAGAGTGCACTGATAAGATACAAGATGTATTCTGCTTATTTCATGTGCATTCATTAAGAACAAGATATACAAACAATTCCTCCAGATAATAAACTAAAGTTCATAGCATTTGATAGATCAAACTCGTAAAAGGTAAAAACAGACATTTCATCCTGAATAAACATGTGATTTGGTTTCAGTGTTCTCATTTTTCAGACATACATTAAGAGTGAATGAGAAAGGAGAGACAGAGGAAAGAGCATCCTTTGGCAAGGAAAGCTGCAGACACTTCTCCACTTGACTACTGTTGCCAGGTTACCAAAAACATTTTCAAAAAGCAGAGTTATTTTCAGACTAGGTAGAAGCAAAATAACCAATATTAGAGAAAGGGCAAAACCCGGCAACTGGTCAAATGTGATTTTAAAAAAGTATGTACCAACAGCAATGAAAGATTCAGATATGTTGCTAATGATTTATGTTTGTCGTGTTTGAGGAGACTTCTGACATTTACAATAAAACCTGGACTTGCTGATAATATTCTTTGATCAATATAGTTAGGTTTAGGACAAATTATATTAGTGTAGCAATTAATGTGCTGTCAAATATATTTCAAATGATACCCAAGATCTTTCTTCAAATGCAGCAGCCAAAATAACACTAGCTTGTCTATGTTTTGATAGGTAGTCAGTATTAGATAATGCAATATGAAATACAATAAAAATGAAAATGATTAACTATAAATTGCAAATTCTTATCTCCAATAATATTGGTATTGGGGGCAAAATATGTTGTATTGCTCTCAACTCACTATGTTATTGTCAAGTCGCCATCTACTTGTTTACAGTGGGTTACATCCCACGAGGGCTTTTGTCTCAAGTTATGCAAAGATGGCAACAAATAGTTAAACCCATAGCAATGTGGTCTATTCATTTGATATGGGCCAGGAACAACATCTCTACCTCTGATTAAAATATAAATAAAAGGTTACACAACATTTGCTTACCATTATGTTTACACTGAATGTAGTTTAATTATCTTGCCGGATATCCGTGACCTTATATGAACCTTTTTGTGAGCACATTTCAATAGCATGGCTGCTAAAGGAAAACAATATTGATAGCCTACTTGAAGAGAGTGGACAACAACCTTGAGAACTCATTTTCATAATCATGCCTGGGGCAATATTGGAGCTTTCTGTGAATGCCTAATTGAAAAAAAGCACAAGAGGGTCATATATATATATATATAAGAGTATATGTGTGTGTGTGTGTGTGTGTGTGTGTGTGTGTGTGTGTGTGTGTGTGTGTGTGCCCCTATAGACACAGTTCCCCCTATACAACACCCAAACCTTTCTGTAAATCAAAAAAACAAAGCAATAGAAAAATCATTTCAACAAATTAGTTATAGCCATACATTAGGGCTGCTCGATTATGGCAAAAATCATAATCTCGATTATTTGGGTCAATAATTATAATTGCAATTATTAAATGCGATTATTCATTGACTTTGAAAACATCCATTTATTGGAGAAAAAAAATGTGAACAGTATGTTTTTAACAGTTGATTACCCTGAACTTTAAGTATAATTCAACTGAAAAACCAACAAAAAAAAATATTTGAAAAAAAGTAATATTAATAAGAAAAAAAATAATCGTTTTATTTCGATTACGTTGTTTTCGTAATCGTTGCAAGCCATAATCGTAATCGCGATTAAAATACAATTCATTGAGCAGCCCTACCATACATGTAGTTCATGTAGGTGCAGTACTAATTAAAGAACACACTGCATCAATGTTCTTACAAGCCCCATAAACACGTAGTTTATAAAATGTTTCAGAACAAACCCAATTTCTTTTTTAAATGAAAAATACAATTTGAAGACCGCTGTGACGCAAGCTTGGATTGTAAATTGGACAGACATTGACTCCGGATGCAGTGTTGTCTTTTTACTCAATGTCACAGTCTGCAGTACACTGTATGGCACAACTTTAAATGTTCTTGTTGATATCATGCATTCCAAATCAATGCAGAATTGTATATTAAACAATGGATTGAAGTCCACCTCAGATTTTATATTAAAAACGTCATGAACATTCCGGAGTGTTTGATTGAAAAGTCACACATATTTCAATTGGGTTGTGGTCCTCCTTCTAATTGTATTCTATTTTTTGTTGTTGTTATTGTTTATAAATATATGTTCATGAAATGAATTGGCTGAGTTTTTAAGCTTTTGGATTTGTTCAATAGCTTCCATATCATGTGACCCGAAGATTTCAAATAAATGCTGAATTTTACAAATAGACTGGACAAGGAATACACACTTTCTTTTAGTCGATCTTCCATCTCATATGAATATACAGCTATGGAAACCACTCCAACTGTTTCTTAAATCTCAATCTCTGTATGCAGGCCATTCCATTCCAGTGTCTGTTGAAATCCAACACAGAAAGTTGTTGTCAGTGGTTTATGGAATAAAATAAAAAAATGTTAAATGTAATCAAACAATACCTATACATAGTAAAACCAGATAATCTTATAATGCAGCAGACTTGACTCAAGATATGCAACGTTTTTTTAATTTCAAAGTATTCATTTTTTCAATCCCTTCAATGTATTGGGACCCAATGACCCCAGATCCAGACACTAATAAAACAGCTTATATTATTTCTTATACGAATATTTGTAATATATTCTAATATTTTACATTGTAAAACTGAGTTTATTTTCAATAGCTTACCTACCATGTTAACCGACCAAGTGACTCAAACTCCAAAACAAAAGTTGTATGCAATTTAAAACAATAAACGAAACTTAAAA